GAGAAGATATTTGCAAATTGTCGATTCTTTACATATGTATTGTTTCTTTTTCCAAAATGTATAAAGCTTCCTGCTCCGGTCACTTCTTCAGGCCTTCATTCTCTTATAAAAGCTCCTGTGTACGTGTAAAAATGCTACAAAATTTGTACACTTTTCTCCTATTAATCTGTCTTTGTCAGTTTAATTTTTAGGCTCAACCAGGGACCTTGAAGGGGTCGAGGAAAATTTTTCTTTTTCTTTAGGGGTATGTAGTTAAATATGGGGACTCTAGAACAAAGATCTACCCTGGTTCAGTCCCTTAGTTGCTGTGAGGCTTTGGGTGAATTAAGTAACCTCTCTTCCTCAATTCCCTCATCTGTACAATGAGGGTAATAACAACCATACTTACCTCCTAGGTTGCTGAGAGGATTCAGAGGTGATGGCAGCTTGGATTAAGGTGGACCCATCTAGGCTTCTCCTGTCAGCCTTTACCCACAGCTGTTTTCTGTTTCCAAGGTAGAGTGAACATGTGGGCTAAAGTATGTTGACAACCCTTTGAGGTGGGAAGCTTATAAAGCAGCAAGCCAAGAAATAAAAGGGGAGGAATGTGAGAGTAGAGGGGTTTTTATTGGGCATGTTGATGATGTACTAGCAAAGTATGTAACTCCCAAAGAAAAGCCAGAAGTGGGACATAGAGGTACAGTGAAATGGCAGTTTGCTAAGGTACAGTGTTGGGGTCTCAGAGTCCCTACCCTTAAATAGCAGCTAATTTCTTCACCAGGGTTCTGCACAATTTATAAAATAAAACAGAGAGTGAAGATTGAGTCCAATACTCATTTCATTATGGATAGAGGTTAAGCTAGGATATATGGGACTGCTAACCAGACTTCAGAATTAGGAGACTTCCCCACCCAGTGCCTGGAGCAGTGCAGAACATAGGCCTTCTTTGGGCAGCAGAGCTGGTGGGGGGAGTGGTTATTCTCCCCAAATTTGTCAAATAAATCATTGTACCTGCCCAGGTCCATAAGCAGAATGAGTAAGGGGATGGAGAGAGGCCCAGGGCTATACTAATTGAAGTCCTTTCCCAGGAAGGAAGCATAAGGAATGGGGAAGAAGAGTATCTGGGAACATACAAGATCCAGAAGAAGAATGATACATTTCATGGGGGCTGGGGGTGGGGGGACAGAGATGCCATGTGGACCACTGCAACTCTCCGTCTCCCTATAAGCAATATCGCAAGCAAAGTCAACTCCTGGACCCTGTTTGGTCAAGTTAGAGTCTAGTCTTATCCTCCTGGATAAGTTTCGGAGTATGAGAAAGTAATCTTTAGTGAACACTGACTATTGACTTCTCTTTTCTCCTGCTGACTTTGGAGAACTGCTAATGCGTTTCTTGTACACAGAGGTACAGACATTGGAATTGCTTAGGGCCCAAAGACCTCAGTCCCACTGCTGTAGTCATTAGACTGTTCCCAGAGCCTACTGAAAATAAATCTATGAGACTTTAAGAAGCCTTGTCAGTCTGGGGAAACCCAATTTAATTCAATGAACTGCTTTATTGAACTGCCTTTCAATCAGGCTTTTCTTTCTTTCTTTCTTTCTTTCTTTCTTTCTTTCTTTCTTTCTTTCTCTTTCTTTTTCTTTCTTTCTTTCTTTCTTTCTTTCTTTCTTTCTTTCTTTCTTCTTTCTTTCTTTCTAAGATTTTATTTATTTATTTGAGAGAGAGAAGGAGAGTGAGCGGAAGGGGGGGGCAGAAGGGGAGGGAGAAGGACAAGCAGACTCCATGATGAGTGTGGAGCCCAACATGGGGCTCGATCTCATGACCCTGAGATCATAACCTGAGCTAAAGCCAAGAGTTGGACACTTAACCAACTGAGCCACCCAGGTGCCTCTCAGTCAGCCTACTTTCTGTTCCTGCCTTCAAAGAGTGCACAATTGGAAGGATGCAAAGAAATAATCACAAGGAGTCTTTCTTGTCTGGGGATTTGTTACCTGAATCTCTCATGTTACAAGACTGTAGGAAAGTGAAATTGTCATAGTACAAAAATATTCACTAATAAATGTTTTCCTATTGCTCTTCATTTCCTTCCACTCTCTTTCCCCATCCATTCCACTTTGTCACATTTTCTCCTTACAGATATGCTAAATACAAAGCTTCCACCCACTATGTTGGAGAAGCGGGTCCCATCAGCCCCGTTTGGCCAGCTGAGATCAGGGTCAACTGGAGTGTGTGCACAGAGCCCTGAGACTGGGAGCAGCCTTTCTGATAGCAGGCTGTGCATCGTCCCCTCTAGCAGCACGCATGATGTGGGGGTGCTACATTTGCTGCTTTCCCCAGCTGCTCTGAGTTTTGAGCTGGACCTGCAGCTCAAACCCACAGAGTTTGCCATTGCTCACTATGGACAAGGGACTGTAGGCTTGCTGGTGGAGTTGGAATGGTGGATTACCAAGGTGGTGATGGTGGATGGGTTGTTGAGGGGGCAGGGAGTGGGTGGGGTTTTTCTGGTAGGTGTAACTCCCAACAGAGGCCTGAAATTCCTACCTTCACAGACAATAGCTAATTCTGTGCATTTGTGGCCGATGTGCCATTTTAGTGCACATCCAAGGTGCCTGCAGAGGGAATGCTCTTATTGAGCACACTCCTTCTACTAATTTGAGCTATGTCTTTATGTCTTCAAGATTTTATTTTTTAAGTTATCTTTATACCAACATGGGGCTTGAATTTACAACTCTGAGATCAAGAGTCAAATGCTCAACCCACTGAGCCAGCCAGGTGCCCAAATTTGAACTATGTCTTATTTTGAATTACTTGTTTTGCAAAAAGTTTGATTGGACTTGAATCTATTCTTATAATACAAAAACCTTTCAATGTTACATTTATCAACAAAAGAAAAGAAAGAATTGTTACGTTCTTTAAATAGTTCCACTGTTATGATTTTTTGAATGACTATAAAATGGTCTTACATTATTTTCACACCAGGCTGTGGCAACTTGAAGAGATTGTCCTTAAAAATATTAATTAGGAATTAAGCCCCTACCCCTTCTAGTTTATCCCAAGGTGGCATACATATAGCATGTTTTTTATGTGGAAAGTGTTACCATTTAAAATGATTTCCTTGCAGTGACTTTTTCATGACACATTCGTTTTTCGAGAACTGGGGTCATGGAATGTGATAAGCACAGTACTTAGAAGTCTATTCAAGGTGTAGTGAGGAGGTGTCCAGCTTGGAGCTTCATCCATAAGCAAATCAAGGTGGTAAGAAGTGAATGGAGGAGTTCTCTCTCAAGGCAACTGGTGAGGCAGGCTGGGCATTAGGGTTGCACATGTTTGGCTTCAAATCTCTGTTCTGTCTCCTCCTCGCTCTGTGACTCAGGGAAAATTACTTAACTTCTCTGAGTTTGATTTCTCATCTAAAAATTAATACATGGGAAAAATCACAACATTACATCATGTAATGAGTAATAAAGACATCTTGGCTCTGCTTTCTCCTTCAAGAACTTGGGTACAGATGACTTAAATATGGCATTGCTGCAGTGGGTCAGTTTTCGTTGGATCTGAAGATTTGGAGTTAGGTGCCCCTTCTACTGGGTGATGTTGTTAGTAAAAACCTAGATGCATCAACAAGTTATGTCAAGAGGTCCACTCCTAATGGTTGAAAACAATTCCTCCTTGGCTGATGTTTACCTGTTGCATTCTGGAGAGTCCATCTGAGTAGCACATGGGTAGTGTTGTGGTGGTGACAGCCATGGGGGGCGCCTGGGTGGCTCAGTTGGTTAACTGGTGACAGCCATGGTAGTGGCAATAGGTCTCAGGGATTTGGTGAGGGGTCACAAGGACAAAAGAGTGACCCCAGCTGGAAAGTGCTACCGGAGAATTTATGGAGACCCAAGGCCATGCTTTCTGACGAGGCAAGGGGGAAAAGAACCAGGCAACAGGTTTCAAATCCCTTAATTTAGAAAACTGAAAATATCCTCAGACTCCTCAGCTCTTAATAGTCCAATTACTGTGTGTCTAACACTCTATCCTGTCTCACTGTGCACTTTCTCTTCATTTTCCGGATGAAGGTACTGAGGCTCAGAGAGTCACGTGGCCAAGCCCTCACAGCTAGTGCAGAACTGGGATTATAATCCAGGTCAAATTCTAGAGTTAGTGTTTTCAACCAGTACACATGGCTCTCAGTTACTGTGTGGTTATATTTACTCCAATTGCCATATGGATTTCTTGCTGTTGGTGGACTACCCTTGTTCATTTGCATGGCTGAGGTGATCTGAGGAAATTTATCATGTTGGCAGGAGAAAGAATGTGGGTAGAAGAGCACAGACAAGAAATGTCAGCTGGCGAGGCCACTGTTAAATCAGCAATCATTTATTTAGCAGTACTTTGCATCAGGCAGTGTTTTAGCTGAACAAGATATGGTTCCTCTCAGTAACTCACCATTTGTTAGGAGACAGATTCAAAAAGAATATTCCAGTTGATCCTTAAACAGTGCACCCCTGCACAGCCAAAAATCTGAATAACTTCTGACTTACCCCAAACTTAACAGTACAGTTATACTAATAACCTACTGCTCACCGGAAGCCTTACTGATAAACATAGTCAATTAACACGTATTTTGTGTGTTATTTGTACGATAGACTGTATTCTTATAATCAAGTCAGCTAGAGAAAAGAAAATGTTATTATGGAAATCATAAGGAAGAGAAAATACATTTACGGGACTCTACTGTAGTCACTGAGAAAAAAATCCACGCATAAATAGACCCATTCCATTCAAACCCGTGATGTTCGAGGATCAACTATATGCTACAGTGAGAAAGGGCAATGACAAAGCAGTGCGTGAGGTGCAGTCATTACAAAGTGGGGCCAGCTCTGCTTTGAGGATTCAGGGAAGGCTTCACAGAGGGAGATACTTGAGTGTCTCTCGAAAGACAGTTGGAGTTCCCAGCGGAGGCAAGAGCTTGCGCCAAAGTGAGGAGGCATGGCACAGTTCAGGGGTTGGTAGTATTGGTTGGGAGGTTTGAAGTGAGGCTGGGGGTTTCTGGAGATCGGGCAAATGGGCTCAGATCACAAAGGGTCTCCTTTTCCAGGCTAAGGAATTTGGACCATTATCTCTGATCAAAGAGACATTTTCAGGGATTTTAAACTGGAAAGCAACATGTCTGCACTGGATCCTTTTCATATGCTCTCCATTGTCTGCTCAGTCTGTACTTTCGAAGGCTGACCTCCATGGATGACATCAGTCCGTGTGTTAGTTTCCTAGGATCGCCAAAACGAAGTGTCCCAAGTGGGTTATTCGTTCACAGTTTTGGAGGCTAAAAGTCTGGAATCGAGGTGTCAGCAGGGTTGGTTTCCTCTGGAGTTTCTGAGGGAGAATCTGTTCATGCCTCTCCCCTGGCTGCCAGTGTTTGCTTGCTGGGTGATTCTTGTAGGTCCATCACTCTAACCTCTGCCTGTCTTCACATGCCATGTTCTACCATGTCTCTGTCTGTCTTCTCCTTTTATAAGGACACCTGTCATATGGGATCTAGCTTATCTTGCTCCAGCATGAGCTCATCTTAAATTGATTACATTTGCAAAGATCCTATTTCCAAATAAGGTATAGGTACCAGGGGTTAGAACTTGAATATATCTTTTTGAAGGGACATGATTCAATCTACAGTAGTCGGCAACCTTGCCCTTTGAGTTTTGGTTGGGTTAGGCCATTGGGGAGCATGGACAGGGGATGAGAGGGAGGGAAGAAAATAAAGTTAGAGAATTTATTCCCAAGCTCTGTACTTTGGGGTTACCACAGACTGCCTTCCTCTGTCATCTGAAGGTCATAACTCTTGAGAGGTGGCCCTCTTCACAAAGAAGTCTCTCTCTCTCTCATTCATAATTGTTTTCTCCTCTTGCCTCATTAGGCCTAGGAGTGGTAAAAATACCTCATTGTTACCAGTCTGGGAGTATTTTATTATCCCTAGGATTTCCCTACACTCTGCTCAAACCTTTTGTAATCACCTCCATATTAAAATGTCCACAAATTACCTAATTTGAGTGTCATCTTATTCCTATCAAGATCTTGATGGAAACAGTGACAATATTTTTATTTTAGAACAGTTGCTTAGGTAGCAGAGTAGAATATGGATGGAAAAGGAGACAAGAAAGGAGGCACTGAGACCAAAGAGGAAGACAGTATAATAATTCAGATAAGAGATGACTGGACCTGAACTTGGATGATAGCAGTTAAGACGGAAAGGAGAGGAGGAATGCACAAAATATTTGGAGATAGAATTAATGTGGCTAGGGACAGCTTTTATAATGAATCAGATTCATCCTCACCAAATACTTACTAGATAAGGGGAAATTCTATCCTGTAGATTATCTGGCGCCGATTTCAAAAAAAACGAAGATTTACAGATCAGTAGAAGAGAGGCAAGGAGGATAGGTGCCCCCCAAACTTTTAAATAATGTGACATGGAGGCAGGCTTGGTGGAATCGGGAATGATTCGAGTTTTTAAGGGTTTCAGCGTCCTGTCCCACTGGGTCAGGATGGCGTTTCTGGCTCCATCCCATTTTCCAGGGCCCATGAGGCGGTACTGGTAAGGAGTACAGGGTCCAAAGAAAACTTCCCAAGCTAGCCTGGGATCCTTGAGGAACAGAAGAGGGATACTGGGCTTTGCGCCTATGCATGCAGCAAGGTCATCCAGGTACAGAATGAACTCAAGTTTGTCTTCACTGGTGTCTTTCATCACACCCCTGAGAGGAAAAAAGATGGATCATTTTTCATTTTCAAGTTATAAGTCATCCCTCCTCCCACCATTTTGTTTCTTTTTATCGGAGTCAAACCATGTTTGGGAATGTTTTTCTATGTTGCAAAGAAAAAAAATGAGAGAAGTTTATCTACAAAGGGTATTTGTGAGGGTAATTAATTTTGTTAAAGGGAATGGTAAAAGGAGGCAAGTGGGAGAGGAGCTCCAGATAATGGTTTAGGTTCTTGAATTTGATATGAGGGTAAAAATCTGGTCAGTCCAAATACAACAGTTGAATGAATGAACATGATCAGAAAGCATCACATATATGGCCACCTAAATTATTTTTATTGATGTTAATTTTGGGCCATCTGTGGTGTACCAGCTCTGAATATGACACAGATATGAGTGTAATGTATATGAAAGCTTTATTCCTACCTATTTCTGCTGTTAGTAAACTTTCGTAATGTCCCAGTGTCATTCATTCACTCATTCATTCATTTATTCTTTCAATAAATAAATATTAAGTGTCCATCACGTGACAGGCATCATCCTAGGTGCTAGGGGTCCAGCAGTGAATAAAACAAAGGCCTTGTCGTCAAAGCACTTACATTCTAGTGAGGAAATTAACAGGCTATAGAAACCCCCAGACGGGGCACCTGGGTGACTCAGTCGGTTAAGCGTCCGCCTTTGGCTCAGGTCATGATCTCAGGGTCTTGGGATCGAGCTCTGAGTTGGGCTCCCTGCTTAGCAGGGAGTCTGCTTGTCCCTCTCCCTCTGCTCCTCCCCCCGCTTGTGCTCTCTCTCTCTCTCTCACTCACTCTCTCTCAAATAAATAAAATCTTAAAAAAATATTGAGAACCCCCCCAGCCAAATAGATACATAATGAATCAGGTGGTAATAGGTATTATTAATAAATATAAAGGCAGCTGGGGGGAAGATGCAATGAAGGGACTGGCTGCTGCCGTATTTATACAGTGTTGTGAGAGAAGGCTTCTCAATTATGAGGTGATATTTGACAGAGTGAGCCTGTAGCTATCTGGTGGGGAGAACATTCCAGGCAGAGGGAATATAAGTGCAAAAGGGCTGTGCTTGGCATGTTTGTGGACCAGGGAGGAGGCTGGAGTGACTGGAGCAGTATGGGCGAGGTGGGAGGACAGGGGGCAGTGAGGGTGCAGAGCTAGCTGGTTGCTCCGGAGGGCTGCAGAGTTGCAGGGAAGTTTCTGGGAGTGAAATGGGAAGCAATCAGAGCGTCTTGAACAGAAGAACAGTGTGGTGTTGCTCACTCCTGCTGTGGTGTCAAGATCTGACTGTAGAACAGAGTGGAAGCAGGGAGACCAGAGCAGGGGTGACAGCAAGTGTCCTGGTGAGAGATGACAGTGACCTGGTCGGGGGTGGCTGTGGGGATAGCTGGAAGGGTCTGGATTCTGGATTTATTCAAAGGTAGGCGCTGACAGTATTTGCTAACATGGGGTCTGAGAGAAAAAGAGGAGGAAAGGATCACTCTAGGGTTTTAGACGGACCACCTGGAATGAGTAGCGAGGGACGAAGAAGGGGAGAGAAGTCTCACAGCAGCCCATGGGCAAGATGGGTGGGGCAGCGATGGGGGTCGAGAGTTGGTATTTAGACATATTCAAATTGAGATACCCAAGTGGTATGGGAGCGATGACTATATGAAGGCATTTAAAGCCCCAGGCCTGGAAGAGGCCTCCTAGGAGGGAGTGTTAATGGAAGTGAGAAGAGGTCTGAGGGTTAAGGTCCGGGTTCACCAGTCTTTAGGCGTGAGGAGGAGGAGGTACCAGTAAATGCAGGGAAAGAGCATCCTGAGAGGCAGGAGGACAAAGACGCAGTGGAGTTCTGGGGGTCAAGGGAACCCACCATTGCCGTCTGCTGGGGGCCAGGCTCTCTGCTCTGCTGAGGTGATGTGGTTGGTGCCCCCACTGATACATCTAAGGCCACAAATCCGGTTGGTGGAAGAGTTAAGATTAAAAACATATTCTTCTGACTCTAGTGCAGTGATATCCAACCTGCTGTAGCACTTCTCTAGGAATGGCTCTTATACTGAGGATGTGTGTGTGTGTGCGTGTGCGTGTGTGTGAGGAAATATATCGGTAGGTTCTGCTGGAACAAGCTGCATGTCATGCATGTCATACCTTTCTATGAGTTGTTCCTTTTTAGTAGCCTCAGCCATCAGTTTTTGGGATGGAGGTATCTTACAGAGTCCTGTGAGAAAAATTGGAAACACATTAACATCACACGTATTTTCCTTTGAGTTCTCCTCCTCCTCATTTCTGGCCCCCTACTGCTCTATCCTTAGGACATGTAACAGTCAAAGCTTAGCCTGGAATTAGAGGTAATCTCTGGAGGCAAAGTCTTCCTCCAAACCCACTTAACTAGGGTCATCTGCTGCCAGAATTATGATGGACACCCATGGCCCAGCCCTCAGCCTGCATGGGCCCACTGGTCATCAGCACCTGCTCCAGCTCATTTATCTGCTCACACATCACATATATTCATATATAATATTATTTGTATTATATGGTTTGTATATGCCTGTTTGTATTTATATGTGTGTGTGAAAGCCATTCGTTGGTTAAATGGAAATACTAACATTTGACCTCATTTTTATAACGCTTTGACATGTCTTCACTTTCGTCACACCAGGAGCCTCAAGTGTGGAAGCGCCTGATGGTCTCTCGGCCTCACAAAGCTCTGACTGCTTGAGTGGTGGTGAGGATGTGCTCCGTTTCAGCCTCTCACCTACACAGTCCCAGGGCGTGGGCTCTGCTCTTCTGGCTAGGAGCCAAGTGCTGACTCCAGAGGGTGGGGTTACTGGGTACTTGAGCTAGGTCTGACTTCACTCTGTAGTGTACTTGTCACCAGCATCACTTTATCCTGTAAAAAGTGGGCAAGACTTTACTTGGTGTTTCCCGGATCGTCCCCGGAGGCTCTCTGGAGAAGCATGTAATTACTCCTGGGGTGTGATCTAACCGAGTTTCATTTTGTCAGCTCTATCATTCTGATAGGCATTTTTGACCTCATTATAAAACACTTATAAAAACCCCACCACGTACTTAAGAATCTTTTGTGGTTTTAATATAATCAGATAATGCTGTGAAAGCACTTTAATTGGCCTTAAAGAAATAAAAATTTGTGATCGCTTAATGGAACTGTGTGGATTTGATGTCTATTACATTTGAACAGTGTGAAAGAAGTTGATACTCCTTAGTACTGCGTTATATCCTATTTATAAATTATTGGTGATTGTTTTTATCCACTAAGGACACATATCTGCTAAAGGATAGCTAGTTGGCGAAATTGTGATTGTTGTTTATATTTATTTATTTATTTATTTATTTTTTTAAA